AGGAAGGATCCCTTCCATGTCACTACAGTCCAAGGGCTCCCCCCCTGCATGTTTGTCCTCTGGAGAGGAAGGAGACAGAAGTAGTGAGGCCCCTGCATTTGTGAGCAGCCCCGAAAGTAGTGACCTAAGCTCCCCCACCTTCCCCAGTCCCTGTATGTGGGGAAACTTCTGCCACAGCTGGTTAATGCACCCACAGGCCCTCCAGGCACTTAGCAGTCCAGTGTCTCCAGCACCATTTGTGTCCTCCCTGGGTGAAGAGCTGGGCACCTGGACCACATGCTCTTCTTTGCGCCCCTCCAGGATTCTCTGTTAGGCATTCTTGGAACCCCAGCTCCAAGGCCTCACTTCTCAGGCTCTCAGAGCCTCTGAGCCAGGGGCAGTCTCTCCTTGACCCTTTGCCCCGAGGCAGGCAACAGCCCACCCTCTGCCCTCATAGCAACCCAGCCAGGAGAGCCTGGCCTCCCACGGACACTCCCTCACTGCCCTCCCCCAATCTCACCTGGCCTTGTTCCTCCCCTCGCTCTGTCCCATTCCCTGGGCATTATTTCTGGGGCCGTGCTCTGTCTTTAACGCTCCCCAAGAACCAGCTTTCTAGAATCCAGCCACTTCTCTTGGGGCAGAAGAAATGGCCTTTGCAAGGCTTTGGCTGTGAATTCTTGGTAGGGAATAGGACTGGGGAAGATAAACCCAGTCCGGAGGGCAAAAATATCTCACCCTTTACCATTAGCAGAACACCAGCTAGAAGGCCAAAAAAGGCCCTGGCCAGGGATGGGGGTGAAGACAAGTTCTAAAGCCCAGGAATGAGCATAGCAGCCCCTCCCACTTATAATCTACAACATACTTGCATATCGGCCACCTATTTGGATCCTCAAAACAACCTCATGTGGTGGGCAGGGATTATCACCTGCACTGTACAGGTGAGGAAACCCAGAAGGGCATGAAAATTTGCCCAAAGTGTCAGGGCCAGACTGAGTCTCCAACCTCCAGTTTATAAATCCAGGGAAAGACATGACCCTGGCCCCCACCAGCTTCATGATGTGCCCGGGAGGGAGACAGCAAGCCCCCTGAGGCCAACTGGCGTGACCCTCCTCTCTCTCCAGACCCCACTTTTACCTGCCACACCCCAGAGTGTGTATGGATTTGCTGTAGACACACTCAAAAGTTGCCTTTTTCTCCTTCAGCCAGTCCTGAGCACCCACTATGCGCCCTTCCCAAATGCACAGTAGGTGCTCAGGGCTGGCTGAAAGAGGAAGAGGCAGCCCCTGAGGGTGTCTACATTTCCAACTGGGATGTGCAAGTCCATACCTTAGCACCCAGGAAGCCCTGCCCCAGATCCCACAGTTTGCCTTATAAGGGAAGTTAGCCTAAGGTGCATCCCCCTAAGACCATGCCTGGGGAGAAGCATCCTTCCTCAGGAAGAACTGACCTCTGTGAGCACATGGCATGTAGCGAGCTCTGAGCTAACGGTGGTCCCACCAACCCTAGAACAAATCCTCTGGCAACCCAACATCCCACCTGCCACCAAGTCCTGTCAGTATCTCCCAAGGCCGGCCCCCTTTTCTCCATCTCCTCACCGTTGAGTCCCAGTTGTCCTCAACTTACCTGAAGCCATGGCAAAGCCTCCTACTGGTGTCACAGTCAGTCCAAGCCGCCCCACACACACAGCCACAAGGAAGGCTTCAGGACCCAAATCTCATCCTATCACCCCTGCCAAGATCCCTGAAGGCCCCTTAGACCTAAATGGGGTTGCACGGTCTGGGCCTGCACTCCATCTCACACCTTTCTCTGTACCCTGAGCCACACCAGGCTTCTCTCAGCTCCCTTGCCTACCATCCTTTATTCGGCCTCTCCATGAAACGTGTCCCCCCTCCCCTCACCTTGTCAGCTCATCTTCCTTCAGATCTCCGTTCAGAAGCCTCCCCTGTGCCTCTGTGTCAGTTCTATCCATCGTACATTCTCACACCCTCTGCTATACTCCTCCTTCAGGGCAGGCGTTTTCTCCACCAGTTGTAAGCTCTGGAAGACAAAGTGTGCATCTTTCTTCCTCTCCCCGCTACCCGCCCTTCTCACCATCGCATCCCCAGCAGCCGTCCAGTGCCTGGCCATCGCTGATGCTCAATAACTATGTGTTCAATGGATAGATGAATGCACCAACTCTATGAGGTAAGTACTGCCGCTATCCCTGATCTGCAGGCAAAGAAACGGAGATTCTGAGGAGTTGAGTGGCCAGCTCAAGGTCCCGCGGCTGGCCGGTGGTACAGGCAGGGTCTAGAGCAAGTCAGACTGCAGAGTCTGTGCTCTTCACCACTTCCGGTCCTGCATCAGGATTGCCGGCCTCAGTGTCTGTCTTGCTCTCCCAGCAGGCTCTCTGAGGACTGCTCAGCTGGCCACCGAGTCCTGGGGCTCTGGGGCTCTCCCCCCCAGAGCTGCCCCCAGAACCATGGAGAGTCTGAGTGAGCTACAGAACCCACTGCTGCCTCGGAACCCCTCACACCTCCATGGCCCCTACCCCTACCCCGAGGCTTCTCCCGCCTGGCCGTGCCAGGAGAAAATCTACTCCTACCTCCTGGGTGGTGCTGGGCCTGCTCACGCCCACCAGCTCCTGGACCCAGGATCCCTGCAGCTGGCCGTGGAGGCCTGGTACAGGCCCAACTGCCTCCTGGGGAGGGACAAGCTCAAGGAGCCCAGGGCAGACAGCTGCGAAACCAGCTTCACAGAGAGCAGGGAGCCCTCCGCTGGGCCTACGGAGCGGTCCACAGAACCTGGCCAAGCGGAAGAGGATGTCACCATCCAGACTGTGTCCTACGGGGTTCAAGAGGAGCTCCAAGGCCAAGAGGATGACCAGGAGGAGGAGGAGGAGGAGGAGGTGAGTATGTGTGTTTAAAATGCAGATTCTTGGGCTCACCTCCAGGTGCTGAGATTCTGTAGGCCTGGCTTACGGTCCAGGAATCTGTATGTTACCAAAGAAAAGGCACTTCTGACACGGGTGCTATCTACACTTTGAGAAACACTAGCTTGGGCTATTTAATTTTTTTAAGATTAACTGCATTAGGGTATCTTTTTTGCTGAAGTATAGATGGTTTACAATATTATGTAAGTAGGTATACAACATCGCGATTCCCAACTTTTAAGGGTTATGAATATTTAATTTTTTAATAGCACTTTTTGTTCTTGTTTTTTTTCTAGCTCAATCGAGAGATAATTGGTATATAACATCGTTTAAGTTTAAGGTGTATGATGCCATGATTTGATTCAGGTACATATTACAAAATGTTTACCACAATGAGGTTAGTTAACACATCCTTCACCTCACGTAATTACCATTTTGCTGTTGTTGTTATAGTGAAAACATTTAAGATCTACTTTCTTAGAACTTTCAATTGTACGATACGTTATTGTTAACTACAGTCACCACGCTGTATTAGATCCCCAGAACCTATTGCTCTTATAACTGGAAGTTTGTACTCTTTAACCAACCTCTCCTCATTCCCCCCACTCCCCAGCCCCTGGCAACCACCAATCTGCTCACTGTTTCTATGAGTTCAGCTTTTTTAGATCCTACATATAAGTGAGATCATACGGTATATGTCTTTCTTTGTCTGACTTATTTCACTTAGCATAATGCATCAAGATTCATTTTGTCCCAAATGGCAGGATTTCCTTCTTTTTATGGCTGAATAATATTCCATTGTACTTATATAGATAGATAGATGATAGATGATAGATAGATAGATAGATAGATAAATAGATAACATTGTCTTTATCCATTCATCCATCCATCTATGGACTTTTAGACTTTGAGGAGAGTTCACCTTGCTCTTGTTTTCTTAATTATATAAGTAATTTAAAGTCAATATAGAAAGCCATTCAAAGATAACTATTATTTTAGTGGATGATCTTCCAGTCTTTTTTACGTATGTGTTTTTTTCCTACCCTACTCCCCAAAAGAGATCTTGCTATACACAGTTCTATAACAGAAACTTTCCTCTTTAAGCAACATATTTCAGTTTTGCTCCACGTAATCTAATATTTTCTACAAGGTGATTTTTAAGGGTTACATGGTATCCCATTGTAGGTTCTTCCATCAGTTACTAACCCAATCTCCTGGTCATTGGGTGTTGAGATTGTTTCTAATCTTTTCACAATTACTATCCTATGATGAACATTCCAGTACGTGTATATCTGTATTCTTTCCTAGTGATAAATTCCTAAGGGTGGAATCACTGGGCCATTCACTGTCAAAGCTTTTGGTGGAGAGTACCGAGCCCAGCCCACACTCCCACTAACAGCAGATGGTCTTCCCGTGGCCCCACATCACTGCCAATGGGTGATCCTGGGCCAGGTCACAAGAGCCCACTTGTGTTTTGCAGAGTGATGCAACCTCGACAGAGAGTGAAAGTGAAGACAGCTTCCTTACGCTGCCTCCCAGGGACCACCTGGGTCTCACTATCTTCTCGATGCTCTGCTGCTTCTGGCCACTGGGCATAGCTGCCTTCTACTTCTCCCAGGGGGTAAGAGCCCGTGGGGCCCAGGGCTCCTGCTCTGGCCACCCCGCTCCTCTGGAGGGCCTGGGGTCAGGGCCTGGCGGGCTGGGGCTGTTTTGCTGGGCGTGGGGATGCTCCCTCTCATCAGCGCCTCTCTCTCCCTAGACCAGCAAGGCCATCTCCAAGGGGGACTTCCGCCTGGCCAGCACCACCTCCCGCCGGGCCCTGTTCCTGGCCACACTCTCCATCGCCATCGGGGCTGGTCTCTATGTGGCCGTGGTGGTAGCCCTGGCAGCTTACATGTCCCAGAATGGCCACAGCTAGTGGCCAAGAAGTCCTGGCGTTCTGACTCCCCTGCTCCACCTGAGGAGGCAGGGGTGCTTGGGGTAGCAGACTCTCTGGGGAGTCCTGGGCCCTGAAGACAGCTCATGAGCATGGCTTATTGGGAGGAGGCCTCCCAGGCCGCAGCCTGAGGGGTGCAACCTTCACTTCTTCCTGCCTATTGCAACCAGCCTAAAGCAGGGCTGGGAACATCACTCTCCAGCCCAGGCTATGTTGGGAAGCAGGAGAGGGTAGGGCTGCCCACCTGGCCATCCAGGTAGGGCCTCCCTCTAGCTGGGAGCTCTCCCCATTCTGCTTATTTCCTAAAGGGTCTCCTGCCCTGCAAGCACCCCACTACCCGACTTTGTTAACCTCTCCACAGAGAAAGAACAGATTACAGGGAGGGAAAGGGGTGCCTGGGGAGAAGAGGAGCTGACCCAGGCCTTGCAGCCACAGGAATCTCCGCCTGGGACACCCTGACTTTCCCCAGCTCCACTCTCTGGCTCATGATGCCCAGACCTCAGCCAGCCAGTACATAGAGACATAGGGACCCCTTGGTCTTTCTGGTTCTGGAGGGTGCTTACCTCTCCTGTGGGCTTGTAAGACAGTGTAGATTCTAGGCAGAGAAGGGACATCTCGGGTGTATAAACTCTTTGCTGAGGGCAGGTTCTTGGAGCGTCTCTGTGCAGGAACGAAAGGCAGATGAGATGACACAAAGCCTGGAGGGCCCTGGAATAGTGTTGCCCCTGTTCCCACAACATCCTTTTCTAGGCTCCTCCTGGGGGGCTCTGAGCTGGCACCATCCCAGGTAGACAGAGAGAGAGGGCCATCAGCCCAGCAGCCACTGAGCACAGGACCCTAGATCCAGCCCTGTGGGAACATAGCGAGGAGACCCTGAGTAGTGAGTGAGATGAGAGGAGGGACACAGGCCTGGCATGGCAGCTGAGCAGCCCAGGAAGGCTTCCTAGAGGAGGTGAGCAAGGTCTAGATAGATGAAGAGAATGTGTCTAAGGGATACTAAGGGATGACCCTTAGTATTCATGGGCAGGGATGTGGCAGGAGCCTCCCAAGCGGGGTTCAAAGCTGTTTGGATTATGCCTAGAACATCCAGGCTGGAGCCCAACTGAGGGCTCCACCAACTCAAGGAAGAGGAAGGTCAGGCCTGTGTCTCAAAGGTCAGTAATGTTTTCCCACCTCTGAATGCTGGACCCCTGGTCAGCCTTGGAGCTTCTCCACTGGCACCCCGGCTCAGAGCTGCTCTTAACGCCCTCAACCTCTAGAAATCCTCCAGAATTCTAGAGACATCCAGACAGGCAGGAGGAGCACATTGTGAGGGCAGGCCTTTCAGAGTTCAAGCTATGGACCTCATTGTGCACAATCTGCGAACCTGGTCATTCCCGTCCCCCATCCAGAGCTCGAGGCTATGAATCCACCAACTTGTCCCACCATCCCCCCTAATCCCAGGCGTTACTCAGCCCTCCATTCCCTGCATCCCCTGAAGTCTCACAGGCCCAGGATCAGCAGTTTTAATGTCCCATTATTGTATATAATTATCCTTGTAATAAACATTTCGGTAACACCTGGTGCCCTCTGGCCCTCTTACTCTCCTCGCCTGCCTCCACCTTTGCCTGCGTCCATTTCTTCCCCAAGACTGACCTCCATCCCCAAGCCTACTGCTCCTGGCCCCTAGCAGCATGTTCTTGAGAGCACATGCCCACATCCGGGCCTTAGGAGAAGGGCGAGGCACTCTGGCTTGGAGGACTTCTGTGCTCAGAGTAGCCTGGATGCAGGGTGATGGCGTGCATTTGACTCTGCGAGATAAGGCAAAGTCCATGCTGAAGAAAAATCCCTTCTAGACTCGAAGGCCTTGGAGATCAGGTGGAAGGGATGCGAGCCAGGGTGACTGAGGCTCCACTGAGCTGCCTGGAGCTATCAAGGGTGGACACAAGGTACGGGGTCACCAAGGAGCCCCACTCTCCCGATGCCCTCTCTAGATTCCCTCATACCTCCCTTATGGGGGTTGTTCACGGGTGGTATGGGGAGGAAACCATCTCTGTCTGCCTCAGACCACAGCCTCAGCACCAAATGCTCTCGGTCCCAGGCCCCCAGGAACCTGCCTGGACTGGCAGAGGGACCAGCCTGTCCTCTAGGTCACTGCATGGAGGGCGCTGGCACGCTCGCACCCACATGTGCCTACTTGCAAGACACAGCTATGGACACACACACATGTGTTGCACAGGCTGGGTACCCCTGAGACAGAGATTAGCGCATGATGTACGTTAGGAGACACTCCTGGGATAACATTTGAGGAAGGGAGCAGAAGGCCGATCTGAATGGCGGGGTGGCCAGGCTGCAATACTGGCCCAAATGACTGTCTGGGCCAACCCAAGGTGGGGTCTGGATCCAGGATGCCCTTCAGAGTTGACCCAAGGTAGGATGCAGGGCCAGGCCTTTATACCTGCTTATCAATCAGTCATTGGATGTGGGCCACGCAGAAAAGGGCTGTGAGTCTCAGGTGAGGCGGATCTCTTCAGCTGGAGCTGCTCCCTAAGCAGGGTGTGCCTTGAAGGCTGATTGCCGACAGCACCTGCAGCAGCTGGAGGACTAAGCCCATCATTCCTGCGGGGGCCTGAGCAGCACATCACCGCGACCGCCGCACCCACCAAGCGGCAGCAGACCCGGTGGTGCCACCGAGATCCCCTCGGCATTTGCCTCCCCACAACGAAGGCTGCTTCCTGGGAACACTGTGATACTGGGCCCACAGGCAGGATAAGCCGAAAGTGACTTCAACCACTGACGGATGGAAGCTGGTGGACAAATAACCCCAGATTTCCTGGCATCTGGAAGGGAGGACACTAGTCATATTCTACACGCTCTCAGGGTTCCCCAGCAGGACTGAGCTTAGTTGCCTGCAGTGGCAATTTGCTTAAAAGCAGTCCCTCGCTGGCTGCCTTCCTGTCCCCATCGTCTTCCTTACTCCCCTGCTGCGCTTCCTGGGATCAGCTCCCAATAAACTACCTACGATCGAACGCTTGTCTCAGAGGGCCCCAGGGGAACCCAAACCAAAACACAGACACGCACGCACACATGCACCTATACACACAGCACGTGCATACTCACACCTACACACATACACACAGGCGCGGGCACGCAGTCGCGCACTCCCTTGTGCACGCGCGCACACGGGCACAGCTCACACAGGCACAAATGCTTCGTGCCCACACTCGCGTGTGTCCACACGTACGGCACGCGCACGTGCCAGGGGCGAAGCAGGAGACCCCGGCCCCATCTGGTCTGCAGTGTCCCTCTCCCCAGTCCCACTGGGCCCCGGCCTGGGCAGCAGGCAGCGTGGACTCCAGTCCAGGCCCTGCTCGGGCTGGGTAGGCTGCCTCACAGCCCTGACCGCTCCCACCTCCTTCCCAGCCCTGCAGAACGCTGCTCCAGGCCTGGAGACAAAGAAGCCGCCGAACGGTTTCCTATGTTCAACCCTGGTCCTGCTACCCACCTTCCTCACTCCATCCCCTTCCCTCAGCTGCAAATTCAGGCTCTGCAGAAGAAAATGGAATCAGAAACGTAGCCCCTAGGGACTTCCCTCCCAGCCCCCTTGGAAGGGCCCATTCTGTGGAGCCTGGGCTCACCCCGATCAGTCCCTGCCACTCTGTCAGGGCCCCCTCCCCTGTCACGCTGAGCCTCCGGGCATGCCTGGGGCACTTTAGGCCTCCTGCTTCCCAGCTCTGCCTGTGTCTCACTGCCTGAGGCTCCTGGGAAGCAGGGAGCTTGCAGTTACCCCACTTGCGGCTGGTTCCTCAGGCTGGCAGAGAAGCTGGGGGCAGGGAGGGTCCCCTGGGTATAGGTGCCCACGATGAGCTGCAGTGCCGGCACATCTGTGCAAATATTACCAATTATTTTCCTCACTATAAACACCCAGCAGGAAGGCAGGGAAGCAAACAACTCAAATTGTCTAAGATAGAAACCGAAATTGCTGCACAGGGAAGTCAGGGCAGCCGGCAGAGAAGGGAGCATTTACCAGAAATCCGGGGTCTCCCCCACCAACTGCCCTTAAAGTGCACCGGCTCCCCCTAACCCAGCCCTGCAACCCCACCTCAACTTTCTCCTCCAAACGCCAGGCAGAATGAGATTGGAAAGGTCATCACTGGGGGAGGGGGGATAGGAGGATGGGGGCCCAACGGGCCCTGTGCAGGGGAGGGAGGATGGCTGACAGGGGCAGACACAAAGGAAACAGGAGCCAGTGGTTCAGGGCAGCTGGACTAAAATGCTGTGTGGAAAGGAGCCGTGGGGGAGGAAGCCTCCCTTCACCGCGCCCAAGGGCAGGGGGAGGAGGGGGACCATCAGGTGGCAGGCCAGGGGGCTTGGGACGCTGGGCCAAGTGAGAACAGTGACCTGCCACCCACTCTGAATGAAAGGAATTCTTTTGATTGTGGAAATGTGAAATTGTGAAACCAGCTCCCCGAAGGGCCCAGCAGCCTTCCCTTTCCCTCCCTCCCTCCCCACAAACAGGGTTGATAGATAGCAGGTCGCTGACAGGGTCACACGGGTTGTCAAAATGCTGAAACATTTCCTCCCAGTTGATAAACAGGCCCTGTCCCAAGCCCCCCAAATATTTCCCTTTCCTGCCTTCCTGGTCCCTCCCCCAGGACGCTGATACGCCCCCCCAGGAACTAAAGGGTTAATGGTGGGCACAGCTGCCCCCCTCCCCCAAGTGCTCAGGCAGCCTGAGCTGCCCTGACTGTTAAATATCTCAGATGTCACCCCTGCCCGCAAAGACATCATCTGTGTGCACACGGCCTCTCTCCTCCCCTAAGTATGCTCCCGGGGAGTGGGCTCTAGACAAACCCACCACTTCTCAGTCTGCCCTTGCATCCCTGCTTCTTCCAAGAGACAGTCCCAGCACATTTCCTGGGTCTAGACAGGCCTGAACCCCACCCGGAGGATAGGAAGTGGGTGTGCTGAGGCAGGGGCCTGTGGCCAAGTTGTCAAGAATA